CCCGAGGCCAGGCAGGCACAGGTGTATGAGTTCTGGAGAGACAGGGAAAAGCCAGAGAGGAAGTGAGGGAGAGCAGCTCTATCCACTCAGCTGCTTCCCCCAGGGTGGGGTGGGCATAGGCACGGGGGACACCAGGATTGCTGCCACTCCCTGCCCCCATAGTTCTCATCCATACCGGATGCAGATAAACTGAGTCATAGGTGTCTGCTAGTGTGCGGAGTTCTCCCTCGTTCATGTACTGGGTTGTCTCCATCAGATCAATGTATTCTAGGCTACACACAGAGAAGGATGAGATTCAGGGCCCTGTCCCCTCCCCAGCTGAGCCTTCCACACACCAGAACTCTGGTCAAATCAGGCCTTTCCAACGGTGAACCTGGGGGACCAACCAGGATACAGGACACATTCTCTGTTTATTCTCTAGCCTGCCTCAGTTCCAGTAATATCCTTTGCTCCCTAGCTCTAGCCACACCAAATCCTAGTTCCAGGCCTTTGGCCAGACTGTTCCAGCTATCTGTTCCTCCCTTCCCTCAGCCCCTGTCTTTATCTGGCATATTCTTTTTCTCCTCTTAAAGCTCAGGCCAGATAACCCCATCCCCACCAAGCTACCTTTCCTTGAGCCACACCACACCAGGCCTCTTACTCTGGGTACCTATAGACCCTTGGGGGAACCCCTGATCACTCTGTCCACACATTCACCATCTGTTCACATGACCAGATTGTAATAACAATGATAGCTCATTGTGGGTGGATGATATGTCAGGCTCCATGCTAAGCAACTGACACATGGAACCCTTTTGAGGAACTTATGTTTAGTAGCCCCCATGTTACAGGTGATGACACAGATTCAGGGAGGCTTGGCAACTTGCCCAAGGCTGGCCACAGAGTCCATGACATTCCTTCCCAAAGCATTCAGCCTGCCCCGATTGGTCCAGGGCAGCCTCCTCCCCATCCCTACAAGGCTCCCAACCTTCACCTGTGAACCAACATCAGTTCTTCCTTTTCAGCGAACCGGGCCTGAGGAGACATGAGGAATAAAGGGCTAAGGCACAGGCTAAGACACGGGCTGTGCCCAGGTCCTGCCAGCTCCCTGCCCTCCACCTAGAGTGTCATCTGGGGACTCACCTGAAAGGACACGCAGCGATCTAGGAGGCCCTCCTGGACCAGCTGCTCCTTGATGGCATGGAGTCGCTCAGGGCCTTCAGGGAAACTGGGGAGAGGGAGATGCAGCTAGGGTGGGACTTGTGGTATACCTGGTCACACCCATTTGTATGGGGACACTGGGGAGTACCACATCCACTCTTTTTTTTTTTTTTTTTGAGACAGAGTCTCGCTTTGTTGCCCAGGCTAGAATGAGTGCCATGGCATCAGCCTAGCTCACAGTAACCTCAAACTCCTGGGCTCAAGCGATCCTACTGCCTCAGCCTCCCGAGTAGCTGGGACTACAGGCATGCGTCACCATGCTCAGCTGATTTTTTCCATATATATTAGTTGGTCAATTAATTTCCTTCTATTTATAGTAGAGACGGGGTCTTGCTCTTGCTCAGGCTGGTTTTGAACTCCTGACGTTGAGCAATCCGCCCACCTCGGCCTCCCAGAGTGCTAGGATTACAGGCGTGAGCCACTGCGCCCAGCCCACATCCACTCTTGCCATGTTTCCACATCCATCTTTCCACAGCTGCTCACCCTAAAACTGTGCCATCAGCCCTGTCTCCTGTCAGCTCCAGAGTCTGACTCTCTCCTCACCACCGCCGCTGCTGCTACTACCATAACCTCCTGCCTGGGCTGCCAAGTCATCTCCTCCCATGCCTCCCTGCTTCCACCCTTGCTCCACCAACAGCCGTTTCACACACAGCAGCCAGACACTGGTTAAAACTGTAATCAGATCATGCCCCTCTGAGGCTCCCAACCCATTCCAAGTAAAAGCCAAAGTTTTCCCCATGCCCAGAAGGCCCTAAACAACCAGTTCCCCATAACTTCTCTGACCCCATCACCTACCACTCTCCAAAGCAGGCTTTGCTTCACCTGCTCTGGTTTCCTCCCTGGTTCTCAACTGAATCCAGTACTCTCCAGCCAGCCCCAGGGACTTTAGGTGGCCTCCCTGTTTAGAACACTCTTCTCTCAGATGTCTCCATGACATTCTCCCTCACCTTGTCACATCCCTGCTCAAATGTCAGCGAGGCCTGCCCTGATCATCCTATTTAAAATTGAAGAGTCCCCTCCATTGCACTTTCTACTCCTATCCTCCTCCTTTAGTGCCTCTCCCTAGTGCTGTTCTTCCCGTCATGCTGTATCATTTACTTGTTTGTTTGTTTACTGTTTGTCTTCCCCTTTCCCCCTAAGGCAGGGGTTTTTGTTTGTTTTGTTTACTGCTGTATCCCTAGCTCCCTACTGCTATATTACTAGCTCCTCAATAAACGGGAAACGAATACTCCATAAATGAAGTCTTTTGCCATTTTGAGTTAGTAGTAGGTTGAGATAGGAAACATAGATACTAAACTGATAAACACTTAAGTATAATAATTAACAAACAATGTCGTGGGCTAGGAAAATATTTGAGATGAGGTGTGGGGGTAGGGTAGTAGCCAGGCAGAGCCCTCTCTGAGAAAGTTTCATTGAGATGTGAGAGTTAACTGGGAGAGGAGAAGGTAGAAAAAAATTTCTGGAAAAGGGATCAACTAGGGTAAAGACCCGAGGTGAGAGGGTGCCTGGCATGTTGGAAGGACTACAAGGGGACCAGTGTGGGTGAAGTGAATGATGGGGAGGGTTAGCTGATGAGGTCACAAAGGCAATGTGGAGCCAGATCACGTGGAACCTGAGGCAGAATGAAGAATTTGGACTTTACCTTGAGGGTAACAATCTGTCCCTGAAGTACTTTAAGAAACAGAACATCATCTCCTATATACTTGTTAAGGCAGCTTTGTGCAGAACAGACAATAAGGGTGAGGTTGGAGCAGGGGACCAGTGAGGAGGCCTCTGCAAGTCTAGGTGAGTGATGATGGTGGTGGCAATGGCGGTAGTGAGAGGTCAGATACTGAATACATTTCAGACATAGAGCCAAAAGAATTTGCTGATTCTTTTGTAAAGTAGGGTGAATGGGAGGTGTAATCCTTCTGTTTCAGCACAAATGTCCCTTCCTCAAAGAAGGCTTCTGAACCCTGGATGCTAGTCCAGTGTCCTCTATTAAATACTCTTGAATCCCCTGTCTTATGTCTGTCTTCATTAAACACTTCATACTGCTGTTGGCTGCTTAATGATCTGCCTTCCTACACACTAATTAGCTCCCTGAGAAGGGATGCTGTCTGGCTTGATCAGCACATTTGTGTCACCAACTCCTGACACATAGTAGGCACTCAATATAAATGTTTGTTGGCTAAATGAGAAGAACCCTTTCAAGCTGAGCTCCACTTCCCTAAATCATCTGCGTCCAGTCTCCAGACTGGTGTAAGAAAGGATTTGTTCTTGCTGATGAGCTCTAAGTGTGTATATTTGTGTGGTTTGGGGACAGCCTGGAGGACATGGCCTCACCTGTCATCCCAGAGGCAGTAGAATTCATTTAGCTGCTCATCCAACACCAAGCCAGTGCCAGACAGTGGCTTGGCCTCAAGGTTCAGATCCTGCAGGGGAGAAAAGTGAGACACAGATCCATTTAGGGCCTGAGTCACAGGGAGCATCTTATACTGTTCAGGGTGGGAAACCTAAAGGTTTTGATAGTCACAGTAGGCTAAATCACAACCAGGCCCCTCTCACCATCCCTTGCAGCCCCACGATTAGGTCTTCTTCAGTCACTTGGCCCAGCTTCTTCATTTTGCCTTTCTTCTTTACCTCTGCTAGACTGGGGCTGGCGCGGGGTACAGCACCCTTTTTAATGCTTCGCTTCTGCCAATCAGAGAGAAGAATCAGAGTTCAGGGCATGGCCGGCTTGCTTTCCCCTCACCCTCTTCAGGGCCGGTCTAAGGCCTCACCGAGGTGACACTGGAATCGTGAGGGGGCGACTGGGGGTTGTGCCTACTCCTTCGATGCCTGTTTGTGGTGGAATCCTGGCCGGTGGAGGTCATGGTTGGGAAGACTTTGCCCCTGCTGAAGACCTGAGGGGGGGGGGTGGAGGTGGTTGTGAGGGGGCTGGTGAGGGCGCCCTGAGGATTCCACATTCCTGCCCCTTTCTATGCCCTGCCCCCTGTAATAGATTCCATCCCATTCCCCACAGCCACCTTCTAAATTTCTCTCTCAAGGCCATCTCCCTCCACTCGGGTGTCCATTCCACCTGGTCGCGTCTGGACCACCCCTTTTACACGATTCTCTTCCCCCTGTCTTACCCTTTTCACTGAGCAATTAGCCCCCAGGCTCATTCAGTCCGTTCTAGGGCCTGCCCTTTCCAGCTCATCACCGCCCCTCCCACTTTACCAAGCACAGTTCCCAGACCCTTTCATTCCTCTAAATCTCGCTCAGACCCCACCCCCTCACAATTTGCCCTTTCCGGCCTATCTCTCAGGATAATCACCTACCCTCTCCCTCCACCAGACCCAGCCCTGGCCTGGACTCCACCCGTAACGTTCACTTAACTCCACCCCTTATCGGGCCGGACCGGTACCTTTCACTTCGCCAGATACCGCCCCTCACGGGACTGCCCCTTTCCCTCCTCCAGATGCCACCCACTGCCCAGACTCGACCCTTAACGTTTCACCGAGGCCCTTCAGCCAGTCCCGAGACACCTTCCGCCAGCCTCCGCCCCCTGCCCGCCTCCGCTGTCGACGTGGCCAATCCTTTCGGATCCACTCACAGGACGCAGCCCCTTTCTCAAACTCCGCCCCAGGCTCGCGCCGCCAAATTCCGGACGACCAGTGGGGCCAGGGGTGCCCGAGCCTCTCTTTTCCATTGGACCGGGTCTCTCTACTGCCCGCCCAGGTCCCGCCCACAGTGGGGATCATGCCGCAGGGCCGCGCCCCTCGGGCGGGCCACACCTCTCGCGATTTCTCGGGCCGCAGACCGGCACGTCCGGGCGTGACGCCCGCCGCACTGCGCCTGCGTGAAGGGCGCGCCAGCCGGCCGTTTGTGAGTGAGGTCAGGCTCAAGCACTCCCCTCCCCCAGTTACTGCCGTAGTCGTCATGGCTACCATAGCCGCAGTCCCACAGTCTCTGTCCTGTCACCGTAGGAGCCCTCCGGACCCACGCCAACTGTACCGTGCGGTGTCTCGAGAGGAAGCAAGGAAGCGAGGGAGTTAGGAAGGCGTGTCTTCTATCCCCGCGGCTTCCCGCGCGGCGCTCCACGATGACGTAGAAGGGCGGGCTGGTGGCTGGGCCTAGAGCGAGGTTGACACTGGACGATGGCTGGTGGCAGCTAAAATGGGAATGGTGATGATAAATGTGAGGATTTTCTGAGTTAATATTCATTACAGTGGTACACAGGAAGCACTCATCGAATGTTAGCTATTAAAATTCTGCCACGAAAGTGGGTGGTGGGGTGGAAGGAGTCTTGGAGGCAAGTCATGGTAATGATAGGGAGGATTATGTGATAGGCATTGTTGGAAGCCACAGTTCTATGAGATAGTTCCCATTATTAAGGCTGCTTTGCAGATAAGGAAACTGAGGTTACAGGAGTTAGCCATGTGACATTGGGCAAGTTACTGAACAGCTCTGTACTCAGTTTCCTCATCTGGAAAATTGTGATAATAATAGTGCTCAGAGCCAGAGTGGACTCGGGGAGGGAGTTTCTCATGGGTGGCAGGTCTCACTATCTGACCCCTCCAAGTAACCTCTGCTCCCAAGCTGTAATAGTAAGTGCATGTGTGCCTGGGGGCTAGGGGAACCTGTCCCTGTGCCCTACCCCCTGTAACTCCCACCCCATGTCTAAATGTCTAAATATCAGCCCCACAAGAGGCTGGTTTGTCCTTCTAATCTCCCTTTCTCATTCTCCACCATTTCCTACCGGGCTGTAGGCTGGGGCCAGAGAGATAAGCGGTCTGGCAGCATCGCTGACTAACAAACAGATTGACAGCCTCACCACCCAGTAGCTGTGCCCTTTGATCTTGAAGACGCCAGTTCCTGCCTCATCTTCCCTTCTCTTCTGACCTGAACATGCCTTTTGTCTCAGCGCAAGAAGGTAACAGACCCAAGACCTTTAAACCTTTACACACACCAAAGAAAATACAATGATACACACTGAAGAACATTCTGGGGTTGTGATACCTGCAAAGTAATAGAGTAGGGAGTCTTATAAAAGGTCAAGGGCCATTTTTCTGTACAGTCAGAAGAGAGGTTCCTGTAGAGCAAGGGGCAGCAAACTTTATAAAGGGACAGATAGTAAATATTTTAGGCTTTGCAGGCCACATATGGTCTCTGTGACATATTCTTTTTCTTTATTTTCTTTCTTTCTTTCTTTTTTTTTTTGAGACAGAGTCTCACTTTGTTGCCCAGGCTAGAGTGTGTGCCGTGGCATCAGCCTAGCTCACAGCAACCTCAGACTCCTGGGCTCAAGAGATCCTACTGCCTCAGCCTCTTGAGTAGCTGGGACTACAGGCATGCGCCACCATGCCCGGCTAATTTTTTTCTATATATGTTAGTTGGCCAATTAATTTCTTTGTATTTATAGTAGAGACAGGGTCTCGCTCTTACTCAGGCTGGTTTCGAACTCCTGACATTGAGCAATCTGGCCACCTCGGCCTCCCAGAGTGCTAGGATTACCGGCATGAGCCTTCACGCCTGGCCTTCTTTAGTTTTTTAAACAGCCCTTTAAAAATGTAAAAATGGCTCACAGTCTGTCTTGGGCCTGAAGGCCATAGTTTGCCAATCCCTGCTGTTGAGTGTCAGTCTTTGGTTTCCTTTATCTGACTGGGATTCTTTTACAGGATGAAGGCAAGAGTTCTATTTTTCCTGAGGAGAGGTATTCCTTTTTTTTTTTTTTGAAACAGAGTCTCACTCTGTTGCCCTGGCTAGAGTTCCGTGGCATCAGCCTGGTTCACAGCAACCTCAAACTCCTGGGCTCAAGCAATCCTTCTGCCTCAGCCTCCCGAGTAGCTGGGACTCCAGGCATGCACCACCATGCCTGGATAATTTTTACTAGTTTTGGTAGACAGGATCTTGCTCTTGCTCAGTCTGGTCTTGAACTCCTGAGCTCAAACGATCCGCCCACCTGGGTATTACAGGCAGGAGCCACTCCAGTGGCCATGAGGTATTCCTTTTGTGTGAGGTGTGAGGACAGGGATTCATGAAAAAAGTCAGGTCACTTCTGGTATTCCTCTAGTGGGCCAAGCAGATGTTCCTGGACAGAACAAATTCAGGGATTCCTATAGTTTCCACACTGTTGTTCCTTTACTGAATCAAGCAGGAGTTTCTATTACAAGAGAAGACAGTAGTTTCTAGAGAGCTCCAGACTGTGGGTTCCTGTACAAGCTTAGGATAGGGCTTCTTAGACTACATTATAACAAGTTCCTACAAATCGATCAGGGATCCAGTGCTGGATCAGCACAGGTGTTTCTGTATAGGTTCAGAGCTTATGTTCATATAGACAGTAAGATCAGGTGTTCATGCCCAGATTCAGGTCAAGAGATTATTATTGATTGGGCTAAATTATGCTAGCTGCTGTAACAAACCCAGAATCTCAAGGGCTTAATAAATAAATATTTATTTCTTTCTCATACAAAATCTAATCTGAATATTTACTACTGGTCATCCGTGGACCCAGGCAACTTCCATTCTGTGACTCTGCCCTCCTCTAGGTCCTTGGAATTGTCACTCTTCAGTTGGTAGATGGGGAAAGAGAGAGAATGGAGACTTTCATGAGAGATTTTTGTGGGCCAGGCCTAGAAGTGGTGTCCATCACTTCTGCCCACACTCTATTGGTCAAAACTCGGTCACATGTCTATATCTAACTACAAGGAAGATTGGAAAAGATAGAGTGAACTCAGGAAGCAAGGGAAAAGGTTTCAATGAGCCTATAGCACTGTCTGGTACAGGATTCAGTCGACTCCAAAAAGCTATGCTGTCCAATATGGTAGCCACTAGCCACATGTGGCTACTGTCTTTGAAATGTGGCTAGTCCAATTTGAGATGTGCAATAAATATAAAATACACACCAGATCTCAAAAACTTAGTATAAAAAGTTTAAAATATCTCAGTTATTCTTATATTGATTACATGTTGGTAATATTTAGATATATTAGGTAAAATAATATATTTTTTGAGCCAGAGTCTCACTCTGTTGCCCCAAGTAGAGTACCATGGCATCAGCCTAGCTCACAGCAATCTCAAACTCCTGGGCTCAAGCAATCCTCCTGCCTCAGCCTCCCCAGTAGTTGGGACTGTAGGTGTAAATCACCACTCCTGGATAATTTTTATATTTTTAGTAGAGATGAGGTTTTAATCTTGCTCTGGCTAGTCTCTCAAATACCTGAACTCAAGCGATCTTCCTGCCTTGGCCTCCCAGAGTGCTAGGATTACAGGTGTGAGCCACCGCGCCCAGCCAGTAAAGTATATCAATATGTATTAAAATTAATTTCATCAGTTTCTTTTTTCACTCTTTAATGTGACTACATAAAAGTTTAAAATTATACATGTGAGTCACGTTATATTTATATTGGGCAGCACTGCTATAGAGAATTTTCTTTAAAGCATTGGGACGGGTTCTTTCCCTGTGTAGGGGTAGGGATTTCTCTATAGGGTCAAGTTAGTGTTTTCTGTCTGCAGTCAGGATAATGATTATATTACCTGGTAAAGCAGGTTTGTAGGAAAATATGCGGGTTGGAGACATTGTAAAGTTAGAGGAAAAGGTCTGAAGGCATTTTTTTCCCTGTCTAGATTAAGGTTAGGTGTTCCTTTCGAGGCCAAGAGAGTGGTTTTCTGTAGACAGTCAGGCCAGAGGATCACAACATACTCAGGACAAGCACTTCTGTGTAGGATGAGAGCTAGATTCCTGGAGACAGATCAGGTGATCCAGTTGGGGCTTAGGCCAGGGGGTCCTTGTACAGGTTCCAGACAGGTGTTCATGGTAATTCAGATTATGGGTTGGTTAACAAGTTCAGAACAGAGGTTCCTCTGTGGTGTAGGTGTTTTTATAATGGTTCATTCCTTGGATCTCCCTAAAGAGGCAAATCAGATGTTCCTGTGTAAGGGCAGGGTTTTCTGTACCAGCTCAGGGCACAGGTTCCTGCTGGGAGTCACAAAGGGTAATCCTGTGCAGGATCAGGACAAAGATCCTGTGCAGAGTTAGGACACTGATTCCTTCAGAGATTCAGGTTAGTGTTTTTCTGTTGCATTAGGACAATGGTTCCTATACAGGTGGGTCTTCTGGAAAAAGGCCAGGCAAAGGCTGTTACAGAGAATCATATCAGGCTTACTGTTCAGAGTCAGGAGAGTATTTCCAGAGGGTAAGGTAAGGAGTTTCTGTAAAGGATTAGATCAGTGATTCCTGTGAATGAATAAAGTAAAGGAATTCTCTTGAGTTTCAGGAAAAAGATTTTCTGCAGAGAGTCTAATCAGAGAGGTTCTGGTATAGTTATAAGGGCCAAGCTTCCTGTAGAGGGTCAGGGCAGTGGAGCTAGTGCAGGGTGAGGACAAGGGAGACTTGTGCAGCAAGTGGCAAATGGCACTCATACAGTAGAGTTGGGTCCTGTACCAGGTGATTCCATGGGGGCCTATAGAAGATGAGGTCAGTGTTTAAAGTAGATGGTCAGGGCCAGGCGCGGTGGCTCACGCCTGTAATCCTAGCACTCTGGGAGGCCGAGGTGGGCAGATTGCTTGAGGTCAGGAGTTCAAAACCAGCCTGAACAAGAGCGAGACCCCATCTCTACTATAAAAGAAATAAATTAATTGGCCAACTAACATATATAGAAATAATCAGCCGGGCATGGTGGCGCATGCCTGTAGTCCCAGCTACTCGGGAGCCTGAGGCAGAAGGATTGCTTGAACCCAGGAGTTTGAGGTTGCTGTGAGCTAGGCTGATGCCACAGCACTCAATCTAGCCTGGGCAATGAAGCAAGACTCTGTCTCAAAAAAAAAAAAAAAAAAGTAGATGGTCAGGACAGGTGTCCCTGCCACCAGGTCTGGGAAAGGTTTTCTATACAAGTTCAAGAATGAGGTTCATGTTGAGAGTTAGATCATGGGTTCTTGTGGACTCTACAGGATAGAGTGTGAGATCAGGGATTATTGTACAGGGCTATGTCAGGGGTCATTGTCAACAATGAAGGTGAGGGCTTCTATACACAGTGAGGGTTCTTAAAGAGGTTGAGGAAGGGATTTCTGTAGAGGGAGAGAGTTGGGTCCTGGTTCAAAATTTGGTTTATTGTGAGTAAGGTGTTTCTGAAATGCTCTCTGGAGGACAGGGCTGCAGCGCAGTGTGAGGTATTCTTGTTTGAAGTCAAGGCAGGATTCCAAGGGGGAGATTGGTATTTGTGCAGAGGGCCAGGACAGGCATTCCTGTCAGGTGCTGCAGGGGCTTTCTTATGGTGTGAGCTCAGAGATTCCTAAGTGGGGTAAGGTAGAGGTTCCTGTGCTAGGGGAGCACAGGGGTGCCTCCTATCCAAGGTGAGGGCTGTAGTTCCTGTCCAGGATCAGGATGGGTTTCCTGTGGATAATTAGGTAAAAGGTTCCCTTAGAGTTCCAGAGCAAGCCTCCTGAACCAGGCCAGGAGAGCTGTTCTTATAGGGGGTGAGGCTCTGGGCTCCTGAACAAGGTAGAGCCAGGCACATGTCCAGCACAGGTTCTGAAGGACAGGGGCTCCCAGAGGGCTGGGCTTCTGTGGGGAGCCTCGCAGGTGGCTTTTGCAAGGTCAGGGCTGTTCTGAACAATCTGTGCAACAAGTGTAGACTACTGTGATTCTGAAATGGGCTACTCAGTGACGAGGTGACTAACTGGTGGAGAGTTGTTCTGTGGAGGACAGCTGCTTACTCATAATATGTTCAGGATCTATGGGCCCCTGCAATCCCCATCTCTGGGGCTCTAGGGGAGAAGCCATAAGAGAAGCAGCTCTGTTAAGTGTGAGCAATACTCATTTGCTGGGGGCTTGGGTTACCCCATCTAAAATCTGTTCCTTAAACTTGGTGTGGTCATGGGGAGTTCCTCATCAATACTGAGCCTCACTTTTTCGTTAGTAAAATGAGTGTGAGTGAGTATACTTTCCTCAGAGTATTTTTTTTCAGGTGTTAGTGAACTAAAGCCACTGGACCCTCCCAGCCCATCACCCCACTGTTGCTGTGGGGAGCAGCTGGGTAGTACAGAGGCTGAGCACATACTCTGCAGTCCTGCATTCCAGGGGCCAGGCACGGCCCCTTGCCACCAGCTGTGTGGCCTCCAGAGAGCAACTTAACCAGTCTGTCTTAGGATGTCACCTGACTCAGAGTATACTCCTATGTAAGTGTTTGTTAAATTGATGAACAGATTTGGCTTGGGGGAGGGGAGCAGCTCACCCAGGTGAGTAGGAGTGTTGGGGAGGGAGTTGGCACTATGGAGCTCCCCACCTTCTGGGGTCTAAATGTCACCTCCAGAGACTATTTTGTCTTCCTAATCTGCTCTCATCCTACTATTTCCCATAGGGCTGCCGGCCAAGCTGCAGGCCATGGGGCTGCAGGCCAAGAGATAAGAGATGACTGACAGGAAGACCCATGGACGACCCCACACCCTAGAGCTGGCCTGTGACCTTGCCAGCTATCCTTCTAGCCCCACCCTTCCTCTTTCCTGAATGTGTCTTTTGTCCCTTGGAAGAGGGTCCCAAACTTACACCATCTGAAATTCTGCATGTGAGACAAACAAATGTACACAGAGCTGCTCACATTGTCAGCCACTCAGAGATGCTGTGACATGGCACATGCCACATGCTGTGCATACACATGCACACCCACACACATGCACAGAGACTTGCATGGAAATATTACTATTACCAGAGTCACAAAGACATTGGGACACACACACTGTCACAGTCACACTGTTAACGCCTCCACATACCATCATACACAGTTCTTATTTAACATTTCAAAAATATTTATTGGTCAGATCCTGTGCCCAGTGCATATAGCTGTCACACTTTCTCAGAGATCTCCCAGAGTTGTGCCCAGTAGTACGACCACAACCCCACATGCTTCCCTATCACCTGCTCTGGCACATGTACTTCCAGGGTTTTCATACGTCCACCCAGCATCACCCACAGTCAGCAGGCCTCATGCTGTCTCTTACCATGATATATGGAATCACCCAGATGCTGTCACAAGAAATTTCGATATATTGTTGCAATTGCACATCATAACTCTCAATCATGAAGTATCATACGTGCCATCTCACCAGCCTCTCATGGTCATACATTTCAGCCATACTCTGTCATCAAAGAACCACAAACACTGCTACACACCCCACCAAACGCTGCCATTCAATCAATCACACACAGACTCATACCTTCAGTTTCAGGGCTTTGGTGGTTTTATTTTACAAAAGCTTTGAAGGTCCAGGCCAGTGGGTGTCTGGAGCCCAGAGGGTTGAGTTGTCCAGACTGCTGGCTACAAGAGGAGGGGTACACCAGCCCTACCCCTGAGGCTGTACTCTGTGCCCTCATGAGCTGAGTGGAGCCACCACAGTGGTACTGGTGGTGGGAGGCACAGAGCCTGTGGGGAAGGAGCCTGTGGGTGAGCCCAGAAGGGGTCCAGGGAAAGGCATGAGGTGGCTGACAGGCCCTGACAGCACCATGGGGCCTAGGCCTTGGTAGAGATGGGCAGTACCTGGGGGGCCCAGTGCCAAGCCTGAGGCCACCTCCCCACAATTCCCACTACCGCTGCCCCCAGCCACCACCATGAAGCCACTAGCTGGTCCTTCAGTTGTTCCTGTACCTCCCAGACCTGACCCCCTTTTCTTTTTTCCTTTTCCAGATGCTTTGCGATTTCGAGTCTGAATACCATCCTTCCGCATGGTCAGCGGTCGGTTCACCTGCCAAAAGGGATGCAATGGGTGTTTCCCAATTCCAAACCTTGACCTCTCTGTGTCTTGACCAGGGATACCCTTTCCACCACACTTCTTTAAGAACATGGAATTGGTTCAAGGACTATGGGAATGTGCCATGGTGCAGTGTGGCACAGATGTCCCAAGGAACCCTGAGGCTGTGAGTCCCTGAGCTTGGGAAAGCCTCCAAGACTGATGGGAGCTGCCCAAGCCTTAGGTCAGGGGAATGGGAGTTAGCTGGTGACTGGAGGCGGGGAGGAAGGGAGGAAGAAAAAGATAGGGGATAGGAGGAGGGAGAAGGGAGTAGGGGGAGGGATAAGAGGAGGGGATGGAAGGGAAAGAGGAGGGGAGGAGAATGTGGAAGGAATGGAACAGTGAGGAGGGAGGAGAATAACGGGATAAGAGAGAAAGTAGAGGAAGGAAGACAAAGAGCCAGGAAGGAAGAGAGGGAGTGGGGAGGAAGAAGGAAGAAAAGGAAGGGGAAAGGGGGAAGCTCAGGGTGGAACAGGAACAGAGTGAGGAGGGAGCACAGTGTTAGGACAGGGAAGGCAGAGGGGTGGCTCTGAGAGGCAGGGTGTCACCTGGTGTAGCTTGTAGTAGAGGCCGCAGGCATTGCACACAGGGTCGCCACTGGCATTTCTCCGCCACAGTGTCGTGGTGGTTGTCTGGCAGTTGGTGCACTGAGTACCTGCCCGTTTGCTGACAATCTGTGGGGTGAGAGGATGTGAGATTAACACTCTGAGGGGTAGAAGTGGGGATTAGGGGCTCACAGGACCTGCCAGGAGGACCCAAGAGGTGAGGTTCAGGTTGAAGGTAGGGGTTTCTATACAGGGCTAGGACAGGGGCACTTACATGGTAATGCTGGGGATAGTTTTTTGTTTGATTGTCCTTTTTGTTTTTCTTTAGAGACGAGAGGTCTTTCTCTGTCACCCAGGCTGGAGTGCATTGGTGCAGCGGTGTGATCATAACTCACTGCAGCCTCAAATCCCTGGGCTCAAGTGATCCTCCCCACCCCTAAACTTCTGAGTGGCTGGGACTACAGACATGAACTACCCCATCCGTGATAGGGTTTTTGTTTTGTATTCTACAGGGGACTACATCAGTGGTTCTCAACTGTGGCCACATATCAGAATCATTGGCAGCGTGGCAGTCCAATTAAGTTAGCACATCTGGGGGAAGGGACCCAGGATGATTCCAATGTGAAACCAAGGATGAAACACTGCTGTGGAGGGTAAGGACAAAGGTCAGTATGGTTTGAGGACAAAGGTTCCTGTTTGAAGCCTATAAGGCCCTGTATAGGACAGGGGCAGAAGTTCCTATAGGCGGAAAGGGTGGGAGTTCCAGCAGTGTCAGGCAGGGGTTCCTATGCAGGGTGAGGGTAGGGATGTCTATACAGGATGAGAAGAATTTCCTGTATAGGATGAAGGCAAGGGTTTCCATAAGGTGTGAGGACAGGGGCTCCTATACAGGGAGGCAGGCAGTAGTTTCCTGTAAGTATGAGGACAAGGGTTCTGTGTGATGTGAGGGTAGGCATTCCTGTACAGGGTGAGAATAGTAGTTCCTGGATAAGGTGAGGCAGGCCCATGGTCTTACCAGGCGCTTCTTGGGCCGGATGAGGGGCCTGTTCTGCCCATTCATCTTGTGGTAGAGGCCACAGGCATTGCACAGGTAGTGGCCTGTCCTGTCCCTCCGCCACAGTGGAGTGGCTGTTGCTCCACAGTTCACACACTCCCTGGCCTCTGGTGGGGTGAACAGAGGGGAAGAGAGGGCCAGGCTAAGTTAAACTTTGCCTTGGGTTGCCCCCAACCTCAACCTCCCTGTCCCTTTTTGAGACTCTCACCACAGGGAGGCAGGGGCAGGGTTCCACGAAGCTTGGGAGAAGAATAGTCTGCTGAAATCAGGGGGCTCCCAGTGGAAGAAAAGAAGGTACTGGAAAAGTCAGGGCCCCCATAAGCACTGCTGGGGATAGGGAGTGATGGAGGCAGTGCAGGCCCCAAGGTCAAGAGGTCTGGACTCAGCCGCTCTGTCTTCAAGGTCTCCAGGAAGTTGGTGCTGCCTTTCCCATTGAGATCTTCTGGGGCCTGGGGAGGGGAGTCCTCACGGGTGGGGCACACAGTTGAGGTAGGGTAGAGCCCTGTCTTGCCGTAGGCCCAGCCAGCATATGGTGAGCCCCCTGGGATCCCCTCCATACAGTTGAGCAATGGGTATACCTGAAAGACTGTTAGGGGGCAGGTAGGAGAAGGAGGAGGAGAGAAGAGAGATCAGTCTAGGGTCATCCTGCTTTCAGGGTGCAGTGGTGCCCAACGGCCCCAACATGGTGGCCAAGTTTCTAACTTTTCCACAGGTTATCATGACAGCTACTGGCCACTTGGTGACTCCTGGATCCTGAGCCCCCACTGACCATTATGGCATCTGCAATAACTTCCAGCCATTTCTAAGTGGGCTTTGAGGATGACTGTTGGGATTTGGAGCCCCATGGGTCACTTGACAACTAGGGCAACCACCACATACTTCCAATGTTGCTTCTCAATATGGCTACTTGAATATGGCAGGTTGAGGAGCAAGGGAATTCCCAGGTCTGCACTTAACTAGGGAAAGTGGTCAGCACATCCATATGAAAAGCTTCTGGCCATTTCCAAGAGGACCTCCTAGTGGGATTCTGACCTACCTAAGGATCTCCATGGCAGCCCCAACAGCATCCAGCCAGCGCCAAGACAGCCACCCAATGGAGTTACCTGGGGAGTGTCTGTAGGCCTCAGCGTCCCTGTAGTAGGCCAATGCAGCAGCTGTAGCAGTGGCTGTGCCCGGAGTGGTGGAAGAGGATGCTGCATCCAAGCCCTCTGACCCAGAGGGGAAGAAGCCCCCTGACTCTGGTGTCAAGGACACCAGAGCAGGATCCACAAACTGGGACAGGGGCTCTGAGGTCCCCAGGGCCCCCAGGCCAGGGAACTCCATGGGGCCTCTGGGGTTTAGCCTGTGAGGACAGGAGGGGTCCTCAGATACAGAGGCCCTCCTCCCCCCACCTCTTTCCACCTGCCCCTCTTCCTTCCTTCCCTTCCCTCCCCCTGCATCCCCCTAGTCTCCAGATTCCTCCTTCCCACCTCCCTATCCTTCCTCTTCACCTTCTTACCTCCTCCTTTTCCTCCCTTTCCTCCCTTCCCTTTCCTGCATCTCCTCGTCTTCCACTCCATTCTCTCACTTTCCATCCTCCCGTCCTTTCATGTCTTCCCCATTCTCCTCCTCTTGCCCCGATTGTCTTTCCTTCCCTCTCTCTCCTCCCTCTTCATCTACTCTCTACTGCTCCCCTCTATTCTTCCTCCTCTTCCCCTTTTTCTCCCATCTCTTCTGTCCACTCCTTCTCTCACTCAACTCCTTTCTTCCGCCTCCTTGTCCCCTTCTTCCTTCTCTTTCCTCCTGCCTTATTCTCGTCTCGCTCCTCCTTTTTCTCCTCCTCTTTCTCCTTGTTCTCTTCCTCCTCCTCCTTCTCCTCTCCCTTTCCCCCCTCTTCTGTGTCCCCCTCTTCTTTCCCTCCTTCTCTTCATCTTCCTCCTCCCCCTGCTCTTTTATTCACCTTATCTCTGCCTTCCCCTTTCTGCGTCTACTCCTGCACTCCCCTCTTCTCCTCATTCTCTCCTCCCCTCGTGTCCCTTCCCTTCTCTTTCCTCTCCTCCTCTCCTTTTTCTTTGTCATCCTCCTATACCTCCTCCTCCTCCAACCTCCTCCTCTCCATCTTTTGCAGCCCCTCCTGTGTTTCCTCCCTTTCTGCTCATCCTTTTCTCCCTTCCTTCATCTCCTTATTCTCTCCCTGCCCCCATCCTCCCACCTCCCTCCTAGAAGAGTCTAGGTGGGATCAGGATGGGCTGCAGAACCAGAGTCCCTTGAACCCCTTGGTGCCTTCCACCAGGACCTTGGGGTTTACCCTTCTGTGCTCCCCAACTTCATCCCTATCAGTTGTATCTTGCCCTCTGACTTTCTCAGAAACCCCATGGTTTCCGGCTTGACTCCCTCCTCCCCCACCTCCGTTAGGTCTGCAGGCAGAGGGCCCTCTCAGTTCCTCCCTGCTCCATGGGGGGGGGTCACTGCCCACTACTGCTTATCTCTGGCATCCCCGCCCAACTTTTGAAATCACCCCAAGGCCACGGGCTTCCTCTGAGGAGGGTGACAGGTGGGAAGTGTTCCCTCTACCCATACTCTGCCCTGGGGAGGCCTGCCATAGTTCTGCTTTCAGACCCCTTCAATTCCACCCATTCCCAGGCCTCAGTTTCCCCATCTGCTATATTGGAGGTAGTGATATGGGGGGCTGACCTAAGAGCTGGGAGATAGCCCTTTGCTTCTGTCTTGCCTTGTGTGTGTGTCTGTCTCTCTACCACTCTGTCTTCCTAGATCTCTTTCCCCTGATTCTATATCTCTCCCCTATCTTTCTGTGTGTCTTTGATATGTCTTGCCCTCTCTCTCTGTGCTTTTGTGAATGTCTCATGTTTTTCCCCTCTTTTTCTGTTTTTCTATCTTTATTTCTCTGTCTCTTTATCTCTGTTTTGCTCTTTCTTAGCTTTCTCTGTATCTTTCTGTTACTCTTGCTTTCCCAGTGGAGACTCATGTCTTTCTGAACATCTTTGCATGTCTCTCTTTCTGCTTGTCTCTTCCCTCTATTCCCCTCTCTTCGGGCCCATCTGACCTTATTTCCATGCCCCTCCTACTAGTCCCATGTCCTGGCCATACTCCACTGCACACAGCCCAGGACAAGTAGTCAGCTGCCCTGCCCCGGCCCTGACTGCCCAGCGTCCCTGTCTGGAGAGTGCAGTGATGGAGTTGGAGTAGAAGGCCACCTTCAAACTGCCCCTCACCCCTGCCTACATGACCCATTGTGTAGACAGGCTGAGGGGTAGGCCTAGGCTCAGGGTTGTGCTCGGAGAGAGGCGGACGTGTATGCCCACCACCACCACCTTCTAAGCCCCAGGTTCCTGCTGTCTCTGCTTGGACAGAATACAGAATGTCTTGCTTCCGCATCATGGCCTCCATCTCATCCTCCATCTCTTTCCTTTCTGTCTCTAATTCTTTGTTAGTCTCTGTCTCTCCACATGTCTATCTGTGGGTCTTTCTCCTCCCACACCCCACCTGCCCTTTCTGTCTTAACCTTTTCTGCTCCTGGGCCTTCCTCTTGCTCTCCCTCTCCTGCTCTTTCTGTCTCTTACTCTTTTGAGTCTCTGTTTCTCTCTCTTCATGTCTCATTTGTCTCTTGCTCTTTTTCTCCATCTCTTTTTCTCCCCAGCTCTCTGTTTCTCCCTCCCATCTCTGTCTCACTGTGTGTCTCTTGCTCTCTTTCTATCACCACTATTCCCTCATCCTCACCTTAACCCCCATAATCTCCCTCCAGCCCCACTGCCCTCCACACCTGCACCTTACATCTTGGCGGATCCAGGGCTGCCCACCCCTCCTGTGGCAGGGGCCAACCCCCCCACCCCCAGTTATCACTCTCTGGACAGAGATAAAGTTTATCTCAAGGCTGGGGGATATGAAAGCTCCTTATCAGCTGCCCCACAAGAGTAAGTACTGCTCCAACGGCAGTGGCAGGCCGCAGGCCGGCACCCTCCACTCTCCCTTGGCCCCAGCCCCTCACCCCAGGTAATGTCCTTATCCCAACCCTCAAGGGAGGGTCTCACGGGGGGGGTATAAGGGGCAGATATGGGGCTTGGGGACATAGAGGTGGAGTTTGAGGGTCAGTTACGGGTTGAGGAGTCAGAGGTTTGGGGTGTAGCTGTGGAGTTTGGGGGGAAGCAGATACGGGGTTTGAGAAGCAGAGACAAGCTTGGAAGTTCAGAGACACATATTGGGCTTAGGAGTACGTTAGGGAAAAGAGACAAGGTTGGGCAGTCAGAAGTGAAGTTTGAGAGTTGGAGATCAAGTTGAAAAGTTAGAGATGTAGTTTGGGAGCCAGAGATGGATTCTGAGGGTCACAGAAAAGTTTAGGTAATCCAAGGGTTTTGCTGGAGCAGACATAGAGTTTAGGAGTCAAAGATAGGTTTGGGTGGGCAGAAACATGGCTGAGGATTAGAGATGGGTTGTGGGAGCACAGGAGGAGTTTGTGAAGCCAAGATAGAATTGCATTAGAGAAAGGTTTGGGGCTAGAGGGACTTGGGGAGACAGAGACATGTTTTAGGGCTGGGGTAGGGTTTAGGGAAGGCAGACATGAGGGTTCCTACTGTAGAACAGATTTGGGGGAGTAGACTTGGTGTTTGGAGTGACAAAGACATTTTGGTGAGCAGGCAGAGGGTTGGGAGAGAGAAATGGTTTTGGGAGGTCAGAGAAGTCACAGAGAACAAATACGGGGTTTGAGAGGCACGGATGGGGGGGTAACAGGATGGAGGTAGGGTTTGGTGGGTCAGAGAGTTTGGGACAGAGACGAGAGTGTTGTAGAGCCGATAAGGGGTTTGGGAGCACAAATAGCCTTGGGGAGCAAAAGTGAGGTTTTGGGGAGAATCAGGAAGACAGACAAGTTTGGCTGAATGGAAATCATATTTGGGGAAAAGAAAGGATTTGGGAGATGAAGGCATGTTTTGGAGCCAAAGTTAGTGTTTAGGGGAGACAGACCTGGGGACTATGGGGAGCGAAGTTAAGGGATTGGGAGACAGATATCTTGGAAGGAGTAGAGAGAGAGGTGGGTTTGGATGGTAGATTTGGGGTAGAGGTGGGGGTTGGAAAGGCAGAGGTTGGTCTGAGAAGCTGTGAAAGGGTTCAGGGGTGGCTGACACTTTGGGGACCAGCAGTAGGTTGGAGAGCCTAGAGCAGCCTGGGGGAGTAGCTATGAGGTAGAGGCAACAGGCTTGGGGTTCACCTTGCTGGGGGCTCTTTGGGTGCTGAGACTAACCTGGGCTGGTTGGTGCAGAGGGTTCAGCCGCCTTGGGGATGTGGTGAGCTCAATGTGATCCCAGGGGGTGTCCTGGCTGGCCTTGGCCTTTGAGGCTCTCTTCCTCCCTCCCTTGCTCCCTCCCCTCTCCCTCCACCCTCCTCCCCAGGGAGTGGCTGGTGCCCCGGTGGGTGGGGCGGTCCAGGGGAGGGGGTGGGCCCCTGATCATGGGGTACCTCTTGGGTACTGGGGGCCCTCCTCCACCCCACCTGCCTAGCCCATGGATTCTTGGACCCCGCTTGACTTGGGCTCCTGTGGACTTCAGTGTCCTGCCAAGTGAAATGGGCTGAAACCAAGATCAATGAAAATAGCAGATATGGTTTCATCACTCCACTGGGCTTTTCAGTGAGTGAAGCCCCTACTGTGTGCTGGACTAGGTGAGAATTGGGCCCTTATGTGGCAAGTTATCCTGGATGCAGGGAGAGGAGGGATGTGGCTGTACCCATTTCGTAGGTGAGAAGAATGATGAGGCTCAGAGAGGTTTGGTGGGATTTAAACCAGAGCCTGTGGGATACCTTGAGGATCCAAGCTCAGACTGGGGGCCAGGCCAGTGCTCGAGGCAGGGGCACACTTACTCAGCATCCCACTGGGGCTTACGCCAGCTCTGGCCTGCCTTGGGGCAGCAGATAAGTCTTATCAGATGGAGGCTACTGTGGTTGTTGGCGCTGCTGCAGTAACAGGCTGTCTTGGGCTGGGGAGGCAGGGGGCGGGGGTGCACCCAGGGACAGTGGCCTCAACTTCTTGTCTGCCATGCTGCCTTGGAGGTGGGAATCTGAGATGGGACCTGGGACTGGTTCCTTTGTGGGTCTTTGAGAAGTGGGAAGGGAAGGGAGAGAGGGGGAGAGACAGAGAGGCAGAGACAGAAAGATAGGCAGAGAGAGGTGGAAATAGGGAGACACAGAGTGACAGAGGTAAACAGAAAGCAGAGAGGAGGAAGGAGGCAGAGAGAGTGCAGAAATAAAGGAGAGAGGGTGAGACACCCAGAGAAAGCCAGTGACTGTAAAAGACAGTTACATAGAGCAGAAAGAATGAGAGACAGAGATGAACAGAATGTGACAGATAAAAACTGAAAGGGACAGAGCCAAGCACACAGGTGGAGAAACTGAGAATAGAGACAAAGACGATGCTGTAGAGAGGGTGCAGAGACAGAGTCTCAGAGGAAGTCCATGAGACCCCAGGTGGCAGACTGGAGTAAGCCCTGGGCAGGTGGTGCTGAGGCGTGTTTGACGGGGATGTGGATTGATGTAGCCTGTAGCTCTACCCTCAGCTCACTGAGGGGGACCCCCCCCAGGGGGTCGCTGGGCCTCTGCACTCCAGTCCCCAAACTCCTGAACTCTCCCCTCCCCCAAACATTAATGACAACAACCACATTGTCTCACACTGACAGACCTGTGCCTAGCCTGTTCTGAGCACTTTTTCTGCATGAAATCATCTGATACACACACACATAGTAGTTGTCCAACTTGGGTCCCCACAGGGCAGAGAGTAAGACTCCCCAGTCATCATGGCTCCGGAATTCCATGGGACAGGGAACTCTCTTGACTGCCCATTCTACAGATGGGGAGATTTGAGACAGAGAGAGGGCAAGGATGGAGCCCTGGTCAGTGAGGTCTGCTCACCCATGGGCCCACCCCAGAGGGAGTTTACCATTCTTTTCTTACCTCTCTGAGCCTCGGTGTCCTTATATGCAAAATGGGAGGTTTGGGGAGGAAAGAGAGCAAGCCCGTGACTTTCCATTTATTGGGCTCCTGTTGTGTGCCACACCTGTGCTGAGCCCTCAACAGTGAGAAGAACTACACAGATACCTCTGACTTAAATGACAGTAGTTTCAGGACATGGACCCTGGAGCCAGCCCACCCTCATTTACAGGCTTCCCTAACCACCAGCCAGTCAGGTTGGGGGACCTTGAGCGAGTTACTCTCCTCTCTGGACCTCAGCTCCTCCTCTGTAAAAATGGGGTAATAATAGTAAGTACTCCTTAAGGTGACTGGGGACACCAAAGAGTTTTAACGCATGTTAAGTGATTTTTAACTCACTTGAATCTGAAATGTCAAATGTTAAGTATCCTTATTTATTTATTGAGTACTTACTGTATACAAGGGATAGTACTCAGCCCTTTCTAGTGCTACTACTACTACTACTTCTAGTGCTAATGCTAATAATATGCTGATGCCAAGAGTAATACCAATAATAATACCATTAGAATTATTAATTCTAATTTTGATACTAACAATAATAACTTATTATATTTAAATTTATGATAAACACATACTAATGGTACATATTTATGGGGTACAACATGATATTTTGTTATATGTATACATTGTGTAATGATCAAGTCAGGGTAATTAGCATATCCATCACCTTAAACATTTATCATTGGTGAGAACATTCATAACCCTCTCTTCTAGCTATTTTGAAACACACAGTACATCAGTACATTTTTGTTAACTCTAGTTGTCGTACTTTGCAAGAGAACACCAGAACTTATTCTTCCTATTTAGCTATAGCTTTGACCAGTCTCTCCCCATGCTCCCATTCTCTGGTGACCACTCTTCCACTTTCTACTGCCATGAGAACATACTCATTTGAATAGTAATAGAACTGAAATGCTAATGATAATTCTAATCTAACACTAACACTATTATGACTAATAATTCTAAAACCATACTAATTCTAACAACTACAATAAAGATAATATTAATAACACTAATACTAATTCTGACACTAGTACTTTTACTAGCATTAATGTACTAATAATAACAGCAGCAGCATTATTTGTCAAATAATGCCAGAGGCTATGCTAAGTGCTCACCACGCATCATTTTATCTCATTCTCACGAGGTCATTGTGGCGTATGTGTGTATAATCGCCCCCATCTTCCAGACTGGGAGTAGGTGCAGAGAAATGAAGATGTTCATCCGAGGCCCTGGGTTCTTGACTCTACTCTGACACTGATTGGCTACATGATTCCTGAGCATGCCACCCTCTGAGCCTCAGTTTCTTCACCTGAAAATAGGTGTAATCATAGACCTCTCCCCACTCAGCACATGGCCTGCCCGGCACACCATAAATGGCATGCTCTACAATTGGTAACTCTCATCATCATTATTATTATTAGAAACAGCAGTTGCAATGTTGGGGGCGAGGTAGGGAAGGGCAGGCTGGAGGTATATCTAAGACAAGGGTTCGGCTGCTGAACTCACACCTCATTTCTTCATTCCTGAGGGGACAAAGGGCTCAGGAAGGGAAGTCAAGGGTGGGGAGTAGGGTGCCTCAGAGCCCTGCCTCCAAGAGCTAGAAACCCTGAGGCTGTGAGGCCAGGCCTCACCCCATTCCCTCCCCCATCCCTGTGGAGGGGACACAGGCCCAGAAGTTTGTGGTGACAGTTCAGCGAGCAGGGAGGCAGCTGGGAGTGGGCAGATAAGGGAATCACCAGGAGCCAGGCCAGGCTTTGGGGGAGACAAGGCTGGGGGTGGAGGTGGGGGTGGGGTGTCTAGGCTGTCGTGTCCTCTCTGTCAGGCCTCTATTTGAGACTCAGCTTCAATGTCTTCTCTTCCTAGAAGCCTTCCCTGATTGGCTTACTGCCTCCTGGCATCTCTGGGATTCTAGGGTCCCTGCTTGTTCCAACCCCATGACATTTGGATTGTTCGTGCCTCTTTTGGACTGTGGAGTCCACCAGGGTGGGGATGGAGCCTGACTCACTTCAGTGTCGATAGCACCAAAACATCAACCAAAGCCTGGCTAGAGAGTCAAATGTTTGCTCTCAGAACCAAACCGTTGGTTGTTTTTTTGTTTGTTTGTTGTTTTGTTTAGAGACAAGGTCTCTGCTGCCCAGCTAGGGTGCAGTGGCATCATCATAGCTCGCTACAGCCTCAAACTCCTGGCTCAAGTGATCCTCTTGCCTCAGCCTCCCAAGAAATAGCCAGAATCACAGCCACATGCCACTATGCCCAGCTAATTTAAAAAAATTTTTTTTTGTAGAGATGGGGCTTCACTTTGTTGCCCAGGCTGGGGTCAGGCAATCCTCCCGCCTCTGAGACACTGTGCTCAGCTGTTTTTTTTTTTTTTTTTTTTTTAACAGAAAGTATAAAGGATGCTATAACAAGCATCTGCATTTGTCAAACATTAATATTTTGCCTTATTTACTTTAGATAATTTTTTAAAAGAAATATGATATTGCAGATGCAGCTGTAGTCCTTGCGCTGATTCCATTTCCCTTCCCTCATCTACTGCCTTAAGCTTCGTGTTTATCTTCCTCATGAGTAATTTCACTCCATCACTCCATATGTAGGTACCCATAAACACCATATGTTTCTGGGGTTTTGGGGCCTGTTTTTGCACTTCTCATAAGTGACATCACACAGTATGTGCTGCTTTTGCTCAGCACAATATCTGCAACATTGTTCCAGGTTGTTCTGTGTATCAAATGTTCATTCATTTTTTTTCTTTTTATTGAGATGTGATTCACATACCATAAAATTTACTCTTTTAAAATGTACAAAAAAGTACAATTGACTGGTTACTATATTAACAAGGTTGTACAACTATCCACTATCTACTTCCAGAATATTTTCATCACCCCCCCCCCAGAAGAAAGCCTAAACCCATTAACATTCACTCCCTATTCCATATCCTCCTCCCCCCAGGCACTGGCAACCACTAATCTACTCTGTTTCTATGGATTTGCCTGTTCTGAGCATTTCCTATATATGCAGTCATACAATATATGGTCTTTTGGAACTGCCTTCTTTCACTTAACAAAAAAAAATTTTTTTTTAAGACAGAGTCTCACTTTGTTGCCCAGGCTAGAGTGAGTGCCATGGCGTCAGCCTAGCTCACAGCAACCTCAAACTCCTAGGCTCAAGCAATCCTCCTGCCTCAGCCGCCCGAGTAGCTGGGACTACAGGCATGTGCCACCATGCCCGGCTAATTTTTTCTATATATATTAGTTGTCCAATTAATTTATTTCTATTTATAGTAGAGACGGGGTCTCACTCTTGCTCAGGCTGGGTTTGAACTCCTGACCTCAAGCAGTCCACTCACCTTGGCCTCTTAGAGTGCTAGGATTACAGGCGTGAGCCACCACGCCTGGCCCCAGCTAATTTTTTCTATATATTTTTAGCTGGCCAATTAATTTCTTTCTATTTTTTAGTAGAGATGGGGTCTCGCTCTTGCTCAGGCTGGTTTTGAACTCCTTACCTTGAGCGATCCTCCCGCCTCGGCCTCCCAGAGTGCTAGGATTACAGGAGTGAATCACTGTGCCCAACCTTCATTGTGGTTTTGATTTGCATTTCCCTATGACTACCACTGATGTTGGGCATCTTTTCATATTCTTTTTGGCCATTTATCTTCTTTGGAGAAATGTCTATTCAAATCATTTGCCTATTTTGAATTGGGTTATTTATCCTGTTGTTGTTAA